GGAGACGGTGGGAGACAGAGGCAAGGCGAAGATGGAAGGACGGTGGCGGTGGCAGGGGAGGTGGGTGGCAGCGGATCTGAAGGACAGAGGAAAGGAGGAGGGTGGCGGCTGTGCGGGGAAGAGAGGGGCTAGGGTTCGCTGCACGGGGGAGAGGGGAGAGGATCTGAGGGGGGAGGGAGAGAAAGAAAGAAAGAATGGAGGCAGGGGGTGGGTGGAAAATGTCCATGAGGACAGACCTAGGGTTTCGGCTCGGGTGGGTTTGGGCCGTTGGATCCGGAAACATCAGACGGTGGTTGATGCGTGATCCACGTGATATGCTCATGGTCCAATCAGAACGTAGCAAACCATTTGATGACCTTATGACCATATAAATTGGTCGTGATCGATTCAAGATTAAAAATTTCATTCCATTTTTCAGTGCTCAAAATGAGTATTTTTGTGAAAGTCCTATCAAATATTTGTTCAAATGATATCATATTTTGCACAAGTTTACATCATGGATTTGCAAACAATATTGACAAAGGGAGTTTTTATTTCCTTTGCACGAAAAATCAATTTTCCATTTTTTGAGTGCCCAAAATAAGGTTTTTTGTGAAGGACCTATAATGTATTTGTTCCAAAATTGGACCAAATCATTTTTCTAAAATACTAGACCATATTTAATGCACAATTGACCAAATGGTTGGGTGTACAAAGTTTTGATCCACCTCTCGTGAAAAAGACAAATTTCCGCCGATTTAGCTGGAAGCGGGTCAAATTTGAACTGTAGTTGCCTTGTAGTTTGCTCTTTATTTTTTCCAAAAATCATTTCTAGGTACATAAGTATCTATTTAATCAGAGAAATATAAAAAAAATCGAAGATTCAACCACTAGCTAGGAACGGTCATTCCCGCCGTTTTGACCGCATTTTGAAATGGGCAAAAAAAATTCAAAAAAAAGAAAAAAATTGGGAAACCTTCGCATTGTGTCATTCCAAGTTCCCAGGAAAAATAATAAACTTGTAATAAGGCAATTATTTTTAAAAAGTGTTCTCAGAAACGAGCTATCACGTGTGGAGATCAATGGCTTTCAAGCCAAATGATCAATCTTATGGCCACATTCATGGCATAGTTTGTTCAAATGATCTCATATTGTGCACAAAGGTGCATATTGGAATGGCAAACAATATTGCCTAAGGAAGTTTTCACTTTCTTTGGATGAAAAAACCATTTTCCATTTTTTGAGTGCCCAAAAGGAGGTTTTTTTGTGAAGGACCTCCCAAATATTTGTTGCAAAATTGGACCAAATCATTTTTATAAAATACTAGGCCATATTTAATGCACAATTGACCAAATGGTTGGGTGTAAAAAGTTTTGATCCACCTCTCGTGAAAAAGACAAATTTCCGCCGATTCAGTTGGAAGCGGGTCAAATTTGAACTGTAGCTGCCTTGTAGTTTGCTATTTATTTTTTTCAAAAATCATTTATAGGTACATAAGTATCTATTTAATCAGAGAAACACCAAAAAAATTCCAAGATTCAACTACTAGCTAGGAACGGTCATGCCCGCCGTTTTGACCGCATTTTGAAACGGGCATAAAAAATTCAAAAAAATTCAAAAAATTGGGAAACCTTCGCATTGTGTCATTATATGTGACCAAGTTTCCTAAAAAAATAATAAACTTGTAATATGGCAATTATTTTAAAAAAGTGTTCTCAGAAATGAGCTATCACACGTGAAGATTCAGGGTTTTTCAAGCCAAATAATCAATCTTATGGCCATATTAATGGCATAGTTTGTTCAAATGATCTCATATTGTGCACAAGGGTGCATCTTGGAATTCCAAACAATGTTGCCTAAGGGAGTTTTCCTTTTCTTTGCACGAAAAATTCATTTTCCATTTTCCGTGTGCCCGAATTGAGTTCTTTTTGTGAAGGACCTACCATATATTTGTTGCAAAATTGGACCAAATCATTTTTATAAAATACTAGGCCATATTTGATTCACAATTGACCAAATGGTAGGGTGTCAAAAGTTTTGATCCACCTCTGGTGAAAAAGACAAATTCCCGCCGATTCAGTTGGAAGCGGGTCAAATTTGAACTGGAGCTGCCTCATAGTTTGCTCTTTATTTTTTCCAAAAATAATTTCTAGGTACATAAGTATCTACTTAATCAGAGAAACACCAAAAAAATTCCAAGATTCAACCACTAGCTAGGAACGGTCATGCCCGCCGTTTTGACCGCATTTTGAAACGGGCATAAAAAATTCAAAAAAAATCAAAACATTGGTAAACCTTCGCATTGTGTCATTATATGTGACCAAGTTTCCAGTAAAAATAATGAACTTGTAATACGGCAATTATTTTAAAAAAGTGTTCTCAGAAATGAGCTATCACGCGTTTAGATTTAGGGTTTTCAAAGCCAAATGATTAATCTTATGGCCACATTCATGGCATAGTTTGCTCAAATGATCTCATATTGTGCACAAGGGTGTATATTGGAATGGCAAACAATGTTGCCTAAGGAAGTTTTCATTTTCTTTGGACGAAAAAACCATTTTCCATTTTGCGAGTGCCTCAAATGAGTTTTTTTTTGTGAAGGACCTACCATATATTTGTTGCAAAATTGGACCAAATCAATTTTCTAAAATACTAGGCCATATTTAATGCAAAATTGACAAAATGGTTGGGTGTCAAAAGTTTTGATCCACCTCTCGTGAAAAAGACAAATTTCCACCGATTCAGCTGGAAGCGGGTCAAATTTGAACTGTAGCTGCCTCATAGTTTGCTATTTATTTTTTCCAAAAATCATTTCTAGTTACATAAGTACCTATTTAATCATAAATACATGGTTTGGTGGCGATACATCAAGGATTGGGCAGTGGCCGAGGGCCCCAACTCTAGAGCGCGTAAACTCGCATGCCCGCCGTGTGGTCACCACGTGACCGTGGCGTTGCCATGTGTTCTGGGTGGCCTAGGCATGTCTAGTGGGTTGGGCACTCCCCAGGTAGGTGCTAGGAAGAAAATTACAACATAAGATTCTCACGAGGAGACCGACCGATGCTCAAACATGAATTAGCAGCCAAGTGTTTGATTAGCGGTACGGGAAATGTACATGGCTAATGGGCGTGAGTTTTGGCTGAGGATGATCAGTTACTGAGAAGACCGTCTTCACAAATTTTCAGCTCAAAAGGAGGAGCCTAGGTGGTACTTGCTTTGCAAAGTACCACACTGGACATAAATACGAATGTTGAAGGTGGGCTCAAAATAATGAACGGATTGAGCTAGCATTTGGTGTAGGATGGTTATTTGGGCATAGGAAAGCACTGTAGAAAATGGGTACTATTTAGACATGCCAAAGTGGTACTTCCTTCATAAAGTGCTGCTCTAAACAGAATAGGAAAATGAATATTGTTGAATTATTTTTGAACTAGGCAAGGAAGGTTTTTGACATATTTGATGAAGATATGATCCAAACAATTTATGAGGATATTTTGGGAATTCTTGGAATAACAGAAATATAGGTCGCTTCACAACCTAGGGTAAAAATTGACACATGGACATGACACATAGGCAAAACTGATGAGATGCGCCTAGTCATCGCAACCCACCACAATTTACAAGGCTATGACCATTTCGTGTCATAGACAGAAATATAGGTCGTTAACAACTAGAAATAAGGCAGCGGACTAGCGTTGTTTACTTTATGACCATTTCGTGTAAAGAAATTACGACCTTTCTGACCAAAATGGTCGCAATGGTTTAGGGCTTGGAGCCCCCCGAACATCTTTTGACCAATTGGTCTCAAATGGCCATAGGTCTATGACCAATTCTTCCAGGGTCACTGACAGAAGGTCACTAGTTGACATATTTATTCTTGTAGTGCTCGGCCACACGTTGGTTCACGAGCGGGTCTGTATTGGTACTGTAATAACAGGAGTTAGTGGTCACTTTACTTAAATTTAATTAGCTCTAATAGAAATTTATACTTAAAACAAGCAATGCATTCGCTCGTTCTATCAGTGCCACAGGATCAACATGCACAACAATTAGAATTATTATTCTCAGGACGCACATGATCAGCACATTTGTCGCACTTTCACAAAGACAATACTACCAAGTTTGAACTGTTTGTTATGGTTGTTGTCCTCTACATCATCATGCCGTGTTTCCCAGCTTGCAACATTCAGAACCAACAAATAAGATCCAAATAATAAGTACAACAAAGATGCCTACACATCTCATTGATTCCCAGCTTGCAAGATTCAGAACCAACAAATAAGATCCAAATAATAAGTACAACAAAGATGCCTACACATCTCATTGATTCCTAGCTTGCAAGATTCATAACCAACAAATAAGATTCAAATAATAAGTACAACAAATATGCCTACATATCTGACTGATTCCCAGCTTGCAAGATTCAG